TTTTTGAAAGCAGGATTTATTGAGAGGACAGAAAATCTCCCACAGTGGGAGGGGACCCGAAGGGGTTGCCCACATTTTATATTTCATATGGTTTTGAATTGCCATCTAAAAAGTTTTCATTTTTCTTTCCAACTGGAAGAACTTAATTTAGCATTTCTTATCAGATAAGTCTGGTTTTAATGAAGTTCTTCAGTTCTTTCTTTGTCTTGGGATATTTTAATTTCCCTTTATTTTTGAAAAAAGCATTTTTTGTTGGATATAAAATTTTTGATTGTCTGTATTTTTTTCTTTCAGTTCTTTAAATATATCACCCCACTTTCTCTTGGACTGCAAAGTTTCTACTGAGAGATACACTAATATGCCCACTGAGATACTTCATATATGATGAATCACTTTTTTCTTTCTATTTTAAAGATTTTTTTCTGTCTTATGATTGTTTGGTTATTATGTATCTTAGAGTTGTATTTTTGTGTTTATTCTACTAGGAATGTGTTAAGCTTCTTGTATTTATATATCCATGTCTTTCTTCAAATTTAGGAAGTTTTCAGCCATCATTTCTTCATATAATTTGCTTCTCATTCTCTTCTTCTGTAACTCACATAATATGCTTATTAGTCTGCTTGATGGTGTTCCAAAAGTCCCTTGGGCATTGCACACAGTTTTTTAGTCTTTCATCCTTTTTGTTCCTTAGACTTGACAATTTAAAATGACTTGTTCAAGTTCACTGGTTGTTTCTTCTGTTTGTCCAAGTTTACTGCTGACCTTTCCAATAAATTTTTTAATTCAATGATTATATTTTTTAGTTCTAAAACTTCTTTTTAAAATTTTTTATTTTTATGGATATATAATAGTTGTAAATATTTATTGCGTACATGTTATATTTTTATTTGAACATATAATGCATAATATTCAAATCATGATAATTGAGGTATTTATCATGTTAAAGATTTATCAGTTCTTTGTATCAGGAACATTCCAACTCCATTCGTTTAGTCTTTTTAAATATATAATAAATTATTGTTAACTATAGTAGCCCTACTGTGGTACAAAAACCAGAATTTCTGTTTGGTTCTTCCTTTTACTTTCTATCACTTTGTTGATACTTTCTTTTTTTGTATGTACTTTTCCTAATTTTACTAGTTCTTTTTATCTGTAGTTTCTTATAATTATTGAGTATATTTAAGGCAGTTGTTCTTAAAGTCTTTATTGCATATGCTCAATTGATGTGTTTCTTCAAAGACATTTTCTTTGTCTATACATTATTCTTTTGTCTGGACCATATTTTCCATTTAAAAAAAATATTACTAATGTTCTAGTTTTTTTGAATTGGTGTGGAAGATTTTCACTAAGACATGGGACTATGGGACTTGGAAACAGTCCAAAGTGAAACTTTAAGTTTTTCTCAAAACTTTTCTGGGTAAGTGATGTTCAAACCAATGTGTGTGCTTCCTCTGTCACCCAATTTTCCTGGGTTGCTTTTAAATGACTTAATTTCCCAAAGAGTCTCTCTCTGATTCTTCTCAGGGACTTGAATATTTTGTTGTATTACTCCTCGCACAATCTCTTGCCCAAGATGTTTGTGGTTCTGCAGTCCACCTGCAGTTTTCATGCATTGTGGCACTTATCCACACTACTTTCTTGGTTTTCAGGCTTGGATCCAAACTATGCCACCATTGCCTATCTGAGTTCCTAGTCAGGTGGAACAAAAATAATTTAAGGAAACTTATAGACAGGGCATAACAAGTTCTGATTTGTTCTTCCCACCATAAGAGAGCAAGGTGTAAATTGAGCTACTTCTTCCTGACTATGCTATACCATGCTGGGAGGAGGTAGAGCAAGTTAAAAATCTGTCTATATATAACTATTTTACATGTGACTTTTTCTTAATTGTTCATTTGGTTGCTGCAGATTTCTGGTGGGTTTCCTGAACTGTTATAATCTTTTAGTCAGATTGTGATTATTTTTTGTCTCCATGGGCGAAACAAGAACCTTGAGCTTTCTGGTGTCATATTATTCTGTTTGTTTTTATTTTATATTATCTTTGTGCTCTATTTCACTGATACAAACAATAGAGTGTGCCTATATTGCTAACAATAGATATTATAAAAAAACCCGTTATGCAGGAAAAAATGGACCGGGAATAATGGTCCCTGATAGTGTGATGTCAGAAAGAAACAATTCCCTCACGCTGTATGGGACAAAAATGTAAACAGATATATTTTTTCATATACCTAGTACTTCTTCCCAGATTAAAAAAAAGTCACCTCTTTTAGTTTATGAATACTTTTATAAACTAAAGGACAATTATAAATATTGTGACCATTCTTGATAGAGTTATTGATCAGATTTGAAGTCTACAGTACTTTGCTCCTCTCTATTCATTGAAACTAATGTAGTCCAAACTTTGCTTCTAGAGTCATTCAAACTTGTATTGCTTTCCTCTCCTGTAAATGCTATCAGTTCTTAAATGTCCACATCATACTCCATTGCTTTTAAAAATTTATCTCTGAATGCTCCAATTTACATTACTTCCTCACTCATTTGGACTCTTCTGTGGCAGTGAACACTAGAATATTCAGTTTACTTAAGAGAACTAAGTAGGGCCCCTTTTGCGTGGATAGTGCATATTCTATTGCTGACCCACTGTCTACATGGAAGACCCAAAATAACTGGAATTATATTTTGGAGCACAGACTCTTTGTAGTAAGTGTTCTCACTAGAAACCCATCGGTTTTTATCTGGAAGTTTTGAGAAATTGGAGAGCGTCCCTCTTATAACTCTCAGGTTAGAAAATACCTAAATATATTAACACGTACTTGATCCAAGGCACTGATACACTAGCAACATATCTCAAGACAAGAATTTAAAGGCCAGGGAATTAAAAATGGGGGAACAGGTAGCAAGCGGAGGCTTTGGAATTATCCATAGTAGGGAGCCAAGGAAGGGACAAATGAGAAGTGAGGAGAGGTCTGAAGCTGAATACTTGCAAAATTACAGTTTTACCAGGGGTCCCATACATCCCAAAGCTCTACTTTCATCTCAGATTTCTATAATTTTACTGCTTTAATGTACCCAGTTGATGAAATGATATCTTCTTGGTCAAATGAAGATAAACTCATCATTCTGTGCATGAAGTAATGCATTGGCTCAGTGACAAGACTCCTTTCATCTTTCTGGAAAAAATGCAAATCAAATGTTACACAAAGTAGAGTTTGAGATGTCCTTTCTTATCTTATTGGTAATTTTTGCAGTCTAATTTAGACTTCAATGAGAAAAAGTTTTAGAGATTACTTAAAACATGGATGAGCCTCATAGTTCTAAATAAAATGTTTCTTCCAGTGTACTTATTATAAAATAGCTCAGTGAAGGTTATTTAAATTATGATATTGTGTTTTAAGTAGACTTTTAAAAATAAGCTTAGAACAATGTTTAAATAATCTAATTTTCCATTTCTAATCTTTAAAAATATTTTAAATTATATTTGATTTAGTGAAAAAAGAACAGAGATATAGCTCTGGTCAATCTTGCCAGGTCAATCATCTTAACAGTTACTGTAATCTATTTGTTGCAAAGTCATGTGTGCTTCTGAAATGACCAGAGTTGCATCACTGTTCTTTTTCTCTGTTCCATCTCAGCTTTTGTGTTAACTTGAGAATCACATCAAATGGATAATCAAAGGAATTATCTCTTCAGAAAATTCAAAAAAAAAATTCTGCAGAAACATCTTGTGGTACACTTTTTTTTGTGGGGGGGGGGAATCAGACCCAAAGGGTCATTGAAGTCCACTGTCATATGAGGATTTGAAATTAGTAATAAGAGCTATTCTCCATGATAATAGTGGAGTTTATGGGCTATTTGTAAGGGTGATATTTAAAATATTTTGATTAACTTGTTAAGTTTGGATAAGTTGGCTGAAAAACTTAAAAAAGAGTTATCTATATAACTTGCCCATAAGTCACCTAGCTATGAAGTAAGAGTCAGAATTCAAACCCAGACAATATGAATTTCTATGAATCTTTTTTACTTTTTCCTACCTCAGCAAAACTTCTAGCTTTATACTACTGGCATCATTGAAGCTGTTCACACAAAATGTTCAATGAGTATTTACCAGCCAAAATACAAAAGGACCGGAATAAATTATTTTTCAATTTTCTCTTTTCCTGGAGATTCCAATTGATCTACATTTTTGTCCATTACCTGCTTTCCTTCAGTTGAATTTCATGGCCGTGTGTGTTAATTATCACTCTTCTATCATAAATAGCACCAGGTTTAAAAGAAGACTGAATTCATTTTATTATTCTTTTCTCCCTAATCAAGGTATAAAATTTGTGAAGCTCTCTACTCTGTCTAATCTCTAACAGTCGTGTTTATTACTTACTTTACATTGTGGCTTTTTTTCCCAAGAAGAAAAGACTGCTTCAGGCATGGTTTTTTCTGTGGCCATGTCAAGCTCACCCGTGGTTCTTTTAACATGTGACTTCTTAGATTCCATTGTCTGGTTTGAGGTTGTCTCAGTACTTTCAATATCTGTACTGGTTGTGGACTGACAACATTTACATAATGATAAAATATTTTTCAGGCTACTGGTACTTAGTATTGGCTTAGGATACACTTTGCTTTCTTCTGGCTTTGTGACTTCTTTCACTTGATCTTTAAACAATTCTTCTAAATTTTCTTCTGGTGCAGTAACCTCTCTTAAAATAACTTCATCTTCATTAGAATTTAATTCCTCTTCTATGTTCCTTTCCAAATCCACTGAATCAATATCATGAACTAACAACCGAACAATAAGGTCATTTTTGCTTTGAACATCTTTTAAAAGCTCCACCTTGGTGATATCAGGTTTTCTTATATTTGGAAATGAATTCCTGCAAGCAGCCTGAAATTTAAGGTACAATAAATATTTAAAACCAATGCCTCTATTCCCTGTAGTTCTATTGTGATATAGCTATTTCCTTGTGAATTCTATTTTCAAATTAAGTAGTTTCTTCAAATATGACTTATATGCAGTTTTTAAAACAATAAGAACATCATTTTTGGCATTTTGAACTTCCAAGTAGTTGAAAATATTTGGGGGCCAGGTATGGGGCTACAGGGCAAAGCTAGATCTACAGCAAGATAAAGGAGGTTCATAAAAATAGCAGCATTAGGGCATGGGTCTAGAACAAAGGTAGAAGAGGAAAGAAACTGGGTAAATCTTGAGAGAATAGGGAAAATGGGAAAGATTAATATAATTTAAATGACATAATAACAAGTACAATATAAAAGTTTGCAGTCTAATGTTCACTGAATAATGTTGCTAAAAGAACAAGATTACTACTGTGGCATCTTAACTTTGAAAATTAGAACTATGTTCAATTATTCAGTATATCCTATATTATATTAACTGGCCCTTTCAAAACCCTTAGGTAGTCATAATGGATAACTAAAGGAACTATATAAGATTACTTCTTCTGAATCTTCAAATGACAACTATAACTTCAGTCAGTATAATTTTACAGTTAAGGACATGTCCTTATGTTCTCATTCTTCAAAAAATGTTAGCTCAAATGAATTGTCTTAGGAAAACTAGGTTGAGATCTTTAGAGTGAGACATAGATCTGATATGTCAAGTCCCAGGAAATCATATGAGTGTATGGATGAACTGGTGCAACCAATTCTTCTATTGGGTGGGGAAACAATAACAACAAAAATGCATTCTCATATATTTAGTTGAGTATGGAAATCACAGAACAACCATATCTCACTATTCACTTATTTTTCTGCCATTGCCTTTGCACTTACCTCTAAGGGTTTTACATCCAGGCGTCCAGTCTTATCCAATGAGATACGTCTTTCTCTCTTTCTGCTTTCTAAATCAGAGGAGTCTGAAAAGTAATTTCTCCCACTTATTGATGCTTTTCTCAGTTCTGTTATGCTATGTCCAGTTCTTCTTAAACATTCTATCTTAATTTTCTCGAGAGGTTGAGTCTTTATAGAAATAACTGCTAAGTGTTCTGAGATAATGTTTGGATCTATTTGGATTGGTTTTTTCCCAACATGTGGAACTATTTTAACTGGAGACTTCTTTTCAGATAAATCTTGACCCCACACTTCTTTGTCTAAGTCGGGAATCATATTAACAGCACACTCTTGTGCCTTTTGAACAATTCTACTAATGTCTAGCTCTCCAAAATGATCACCATTTGAATTTTTAAAGCTAACTGCATCTAATGAAAACATTGACACTCCATCAATAATTAAACTAGCCACTTTTTCAGGGAAGACTGTGTTTGTATCTTTCATATCATAATAAAGTTCTTTGTGAGTTCCAGATAGTTGCAGTATGTTACTATAAACAGAATCAACAACCTGATGAATCCTTTCAATATTTTCTGGATTTAAAAGGTGTTCTTCAGGATCAGCAGCTACAAGACTAATGCTTCTTTTGGAAAGTTCAGCTGTTACAGATTTTGTCAATTGAGATGCAACTTTATCTAACTCAGGGCTTGATAAGGTTTTTGTATCTTTGTTTGAGTTACTTGTCAACCCTACTAGTTTAGCCAAGAAAAAGGCCAATGCTTCCTCTAGAGGCTTGGCATCTAATGTAGCACCTTTTCTGTATGAAGACTTTTCCTGGGATTTACATTTGTCAACAATTTTAATCACTTTTTCCATAATTTTGACTGCTTCCAGAACTAATTCTGAATTTGATGCCTCTTCCTCTACTTGAGGTTGAAATTCAGAATCGGCAATTTCCTTCACCATTAAAAAGCCTATTATATCAGAAAGGACATTGCTCTTTCCCATTAAATCTTTAAATACAGAAGCATGAGAGCCAGAGTGCTTTAAAACACTAGTGTAAACATAATCAACTACTTTTTCAATAGTTTCATTGTCAGCTGCAGGTTCCTTGGCTGGTGGTACAAGTTTAATATTACTTTTGGAGATATATTCTTGGACTGAACTTAATATTTTTGAGGTTATTTTTTGCATTTCAGTTTCTAGAGACTTGGTTCTTTTGTTATGCACTTTAGACAAAAGCTTTGATAAAAATTTTATAGCAACTTCCTCTATTATGTTAAAAGACAGTTTATGAGCATGTGATGATTCAGGTGAGGGCACATCAGTAGTTTGGATAACATCTTTAAGAATATTTTCAACAACACTTTCAACTTCTGCACACTGATGTGGAGTTAGCTGTCCACAAAAATAGCTTTGCAACTGATTGCCAGTCAGTTCTTGTAGAACTAAGTCAACTATGGTTTCTGAAAGGATTCTGCATCCACTAGTTACACAATTTTTTATGATCTCTTGTGATCCAAACTGTGGCAAGAGATTATTATAAATAGACTGAACAACTAATTGAATAATTTCATCATCATTGGAATGTAAGGATTCTACATACTGTACAATCATATCTTCATTTTGGGAAATTTCTGTTGCAATTGCACTTTCTAACTTCATTTGAAGGAAATCCAGTTCTGTGAACAAATTGTCCTTAGATGTTTTGGCTGTGATGTTGGATGTTGTTAAAATTTTTGACAAAAGAGAAGAAATAACATTCTCTGAAAATTTATGAGGCAATACTATGGTACATGGCATTGAAGTTTTACATTCTTTGCTGGATGTTTGGGCCAATTTTTTTACCTTTTTAACAACATCTTTAGATTCCAGAGGCAAACATTCTGAAACTGGAACCTCATCACAAAATATCAAGTCAAGCTGATGTTGAAAAATTTCACTTATTACTGCACTAGTTAGCCTTCTTGCTAAATGTTCTCCATTACTGTTTATATCTTTACAAATAGAGTCTTGAGATTTATATTCATTCAAAATATTGCAAACAGAGGAGTGAACTATTTTATTGACCAATGTTTTATCAATTGGTGGTATTTTATCTATGAAAGATATCTTATCTGAAGATGATTTTTCCACCATTTTATGCATAAATGGCATTTTATCCACAGCTTTTATCTTAATGCTGGATGATATTTCATCTGTAGTTGGTTCTTTATACCTGGAAAGTACTTTAGTAACTGAAGACACATTACCCACAGATGGGAAAAACTGATCTCCCTTCTTCGGCCTGAATACCTTAATCTGAGCAGCTGAAAACTCCTTCATCAGTGACTCGATTAATTTCATAGCAGTGTCATAGAGTTCATCATGTACCTGTGTTTCTGGTATAGAATAAAAGATCAATTTGTGAACCATCTCAATAATAACATCTTCCAAAAATTTAGCAGGAAAAATTCTGGGTTTATTTTCTGGTAGGTAGTGAGCATGGTCTTGTTTACTGGGTTCACTTTTGATCTCTTTCTCTCTCACTTTCTCTTTCTCTATCTCTTCCTCCTTTTCTCTTCCTCCCTCTCTCTCTTTTTCTCTCTTTTTCTCTTCATTTTTGGGATCAGGATCAGCTTTGTTAATTGTGGAGGATACTTTTTTTGTTGTAACAGCCTGTATCAAATCTTTTCTACCCTCTTGAATTATGTTTAATGCTTTATCATCTGGGGGGATTTTGTTGAAATTGAGTTTTGAAAAATATTCTGATTCTTGAGAAGAAGATAGTTCTAAAACATCACTATAAATATTTTCAATAACATTTTGAACATGTTCGTGATCTGAGTAGTGTTCCTCAACAATATCTGTTTGTGCTGACAAGTCTCTTCTCCTCACATTGCTTGGCTTTTGATAACCTATTTCCAAAGTTTTCTCTGTTGTGGTCCCTATATTTCTCTTCTCAGATGTCAAAGGAGATAATTGAAAGTGCTTGTCATCTTCTTTTAATGATCTGTCTCTTGTATTATCAGTCTTTTTTTCATAGTCTGTTTCAAAATCTGGTTCAAGTATTTCCTTCTTGTGTTTCATATCGTTTGTTGCTTCTGAAAAAGGTATGTGTAGCTCATAATCTTGTCCTTCTTTATCTTTTGGAACTGATTTTGTTTTCTTATGAATTTCATTACTTTTAACAGTCTCATTTACATTTGGCTTCTGAGTGTCTGTACTTTTCACACTGGTAGTTGGAGAAGTAACTTTTGGTACATTCTCAATATACTTTTGAGTAGAAATTCCCACTTTATTTTTATACTCTTTCTTTTTATTTGTTACACCTGCAGCTGACCCTGACAGGTTAATCATGTTACTTGTCATGATCATTGTTACAGGGCTAGGTATTGGATTTTTGATGTCACCTTTTTTCATTGGTGTGTCTTTTGTTTTGAAAGTTTTCTTTCTATCCGTTGTACTTCTATTTATTTCCAAAGTGTCCATTGCAATTTTCTGGTCTGAGGTAAAAGAAACGTTTTTATATAATTGATCTGGTAAAGTCTGTTGGTTTCCTTTTAAGTATCTGGTTATCTGTGTAGAGGTTTTTTGCGGTAGGTGTTGAATCCTTTGGTTAATGTTATCTGGATTTAGAAATGAAAAGAAGGTGGAAGACCAGTCTCCTGAAAAAAGTGGTTGAATCTTGAATGCAGAGATTGCATTCTGGGCTAAAGCAGCAATTATTTCTATAACAATACTACTTTTATCATCTTTCTGAATAGCATTAGATTTGTGTTTTCCTATAAACTGATCATATACAAATTTAGATATTTTATTAACTGTCTCTTTATCAATTGGTGGAAAGGAAAACATTTCTTCAGCATTTGGTAAAACTTTAATTTCATTTTTATTAAATTCCCATATCACGGAGTTTGCAAATTTTATAGCCAGGCTCACAATGTCTGGCTTTGGCATTTCTTTTTTCTTCAAATCTTCAATAATAATGGGGAGAGAACAAAATTTGTGAGCAAGGTCAACAATAACATCTTCCAAAAATGCAGCTGAATATAGAGAAGGCTGTGTTTTAACTTTACCAGATTTATCAAGTGCAGAGACATGATCAAAATCAGATAATGCATTGAAAGATGATTCTTCACCATGTAAAAATGGCCATAAATGATGATCCATAATTTCCTTCATAATAAAGCCAGCTATTTTACTTAAAAATGAGCCTCCTTTTTTGTCTGCAGCTTTTTGTACCTCGAGTTGGAATTCAGATTTTTTCAAAATGTTATTACAAATAGAGTCAACCAAATTTTCAATATCTTCAGACTGCATACTTTCTGCATTATCCCCTGCCATGGAAAGCCAAATCTCATGTTCAGAAATTTCTTTTATAATTTGGTCAGTCAGTTTTGAAGCTGCATCCACAAACTCATAATCTGGTGAAAATTCTTCTTTTAGTTCATTTTCAGTGTCAGTTGAAGGGAAGATATGCACTAGAAGCTTGTAAATCATATCTTCTAAGAGAGAATGGGGCAACACGGTAATATATGATGGCAAAGCATGGCTATCTTTCATGATGATGTTGAGTACATTTCTGATGATATTATTGGCTTGAGGGGAAGAATAGGAAGAAGACACTAATTCTCCTGATACTAATGATTGCACTTGAAAGTCATAAATTTCTTCCAATAGCAAATGATATATTTTTCTTCCAAAATAGCTTGTATCACTTTGTATAACCCTATATACTTGAGTGAGGGATTCATATTCACCTAATATTTTTTTATAAATTGAGTTGACTATTTTTTGAACCATTTCCTTATATCTCCCTGAAAAATACAAATTTTCATCAAAGTTATCTGCAACTAAAATCTCTGATGTGATGAACTCCAGAATAATTGAATTTACTAATGATGTAACAATGCCAGTGATTTTTTGTTTTGCTGTATCTGGGTTTTCAGCAACCATGACATTATGTGAAAATACAAAAAGGACTTTGCACAAGAGCTCAGAAATTACTTCCTCCAAAAAGATAGCTGAGTTTACAATGAGAGACAATTCTCTTTGTTTAGGATCTATTACTTTCTGTTTATAAGTCTGATCAATTGCACCTGAGAGGAAAGTTTTATCTCCAGATAAAAATGACTGAACATGATGGTTAAAGATTTCCTTTATTATAAAACTTGCTATTTTTGAAACAGGTATATTACTTATTCTTTTTTTATCTTTTGTAAGAGACTGGTATACATCTGAATAAGAAAGATCAGCATAAATGGAATCAACCATAGATTGGATATCTTTTTCTGAAATCATACTTTGTTTTACATTTCCATATTTAATAATACATATCTCATGTTTTGCAATTATTGACATAATCTCATTTATTAATTTTATGACTGTATTACTTAACTCTGACTGAGAAATATCTGAATATTCTGCACTGGGGATCAATGGACTCATCTGAGATATAAGCTGAGTGACTATTTTTTCCAAATGAGTATGTGATAACATAGTTGTATATATTGTTGAAGCCTGTCTTTGGAATTTTGATTTACTAATATTATACTGAACTCTCTTTGTTAAAACATTGGCACTAAGCTTAGAATATGACTTAGCAGGTAGATTTACTATAAGAACTGGATGAATTTGAAAATCAACAATTTCGGCCAGGATAATTTCAGTTATCCTTGAAGCCAATGTCTTTGTGTCACTTAGAAAATCCTTACTGGGCATTATTTCCATTTCATATTCTTTCAAAACTTTGCTGTACACGATATCAACAATATTTTTGACTACATCTATTTCCACTGGAGGTAAACACAATTGTTTCTCAGCATTACCAATGACGCTAACTTGTGCTTTTGAGAATTCCTCTGTTATCAAATGTATGAGTTTTTCAGCTTTATCAAACAGTTCATCTCGTAACTCTCTTATTGATTTTGTTTGTACAATGCCTACTGCCCGGTGGAATATTTTGCTTATAACCCCAGAGATCACATCTTCCAAAAAAGTTGAAGAGTAAACGTTGGCATAAAATAACTGCCTTCTCTCATCATCATAATATATGTCTGATGAAGATGATGACTTTCCATCCACAAATGGCTGAAGATGTTGTTGACAGATATGTTTAATGGTAAAACCTGCTATTTTATCAATAAGAGCATCATTACTGCTTATATTTTGTTCACCTGAGTCTACAGACCCAGTGTTTTGTAAAATATTTTCTAAGATCGAGTCAACAAGATGCTGAACATCATCTTCTGAGTAAACAAACTTGTTTTCTTCTTCATCTTTTGAAAACTGAATTTTGTGTTGGGAAATTTTTATTCTAATATCACTAATAAGGTTGGAAGCAATATCATTGAAATTGCCTCTTATTCTATCTTTTTGGGTTTCTCTGTTTGAAACCAGGCTAGATGTAGAAGGAAAGAATTTAGATAACAGTGCTTTGATTAAATCTTCTAAAAATGTGTATGGCAGCAAGGTGTTATATAAAGTTAAACTCTGGCTTGGGTCGGTAGATTTACTGATGTTACTAAGGATGTCCTGAACAATATTCTCAGCCATTGAAATAGAATAGGAAGATGCTGACAAATCTCCAGAAAACAGCGGGTGAAGAAGGTAATCTGAAATAGCTGCTACAATTAAATTGGTAATATTTTCCACAAAAAGGTCACTATCTTCAGACTCTTTATCAACACCAGGGTCTGACTCATGTTGTTTTAAAACATTTCTATAAACTGATGTGACAAGTTCATCCACAATATCTGTATTGGCAGAGGGGAAAGACTGGTCTTTATCATCATCTGGACTGTGAAGTTTGACTTTGTCAAAATTGTTATTTATTGAGTGTATTATTTTTTGGGTCATGTTTTTTAGTTCAACTTCAGTGTTATACTTTGGGCTGAAAATCATTGACACAAGTCTGGTAACAATCTCCCCTACAAATGTATCAGGGTAAATACCAAAGGGTGATGGCTTCTGGGGTCTGTGTGACTCTATAACTTCACTGAGAACCTGTTTAACCATATTCGATGCTGTATCCAGTGGAGTCTTTGGACGCAGTAAATCCTCTCCGCACAAAAATGGTTGAAGGTGATTTTCAATAATCTCTTGGATGATAAAACTGGCTATTTGATCAATTATAATTGGGTTTTGGCTGACTATACTTTTCTGTATTGAAGCAAAAGAGTCAGATATTAGCAAAATATTGCTATAAATGGAATCCACCATCTTTTGGAGGTTTGTTCTAGTGTACAGATATTGATTATCATATATGGTGAACCAGATTTTATGTTTTGAAATGACTGACATAACTTTACTTATTATACATGTGGAAATTTCATTAAAATCCGAACTCATTACATATTTTTTTCCCAAAAAAGAGGACTTCCTGGGTGGGGTAATGAGCTGAGACAAAAGTCTTCTGATGACATCTTCTAAAAATGAGTATGATAACATGGTGCTATAACCTGAAGAAGAGTTAGGTAGAAAAGTAAATTTTCTGAGGTTATATTGAAGCTTCTGCAGTATAATCTCACTTTTGAGAGGGTAATATGAATGGGGTATGAGCTGCTTCCTGTAGCAAGATGGGAGTTGATAATCTAAAATCTCTAACAACATGGCATTAGTTATTTGTTCTGCTAATGAAGTATTACCATATGCCATATTGTTACCACAGGTAACTTTCAATTCATATTTCTGTAAAACATCATCATAAATGGAGTCAACTATATTTCTAACCGTTTCTTTATGAATTGGTGGAAAACACAGTCTTTCTTCAGCATTCCGTAGAACAGTGACTTGAGCCTTATTTAGCTCATTGACTACATTGTTGACAAATAATGTATTCATCTCATTGAGCCGGGCCTCAGTGATATTTTTATTTTTGCTCCACAATGATGTAGAGAGATTAAAAAACAATTCAGAAATTATTTCTTCCAAAAATGTGGCCGAGTAAACTCCTGTATGTACACTTCCTTGATGTTGTTTATGACGAATGGCTATTGCATCCATTTCCTTTGTTCCTTGTCTTTTAAGAGATGACACTGAAGAGGATTTTACTGTACATTGCTTGCCAAATGATGCTTGTATGTTGGAGCTAACCTTATTGGGATTATTCGGGGACTCTGTCAAATAATTACTATCATAACTCATGTAACCTAAAGAGTCTTTACCTTGTCCTAATTCTACTAACCCTGGCCTTTTTGCCTTTGTGAAACTAGACTGTATTTCTCTTGTGCTATAGTTCAAATATTTGTTTGAAAAAGGTGGACTTCCAGGAGCTTTATGTAAATTGTGAGATAGTTTATCCATCAATAATTCAACCAAGCTATGGGAAATAATAGTAAGTATAGAGTCTGATGATAATAAGTTTTGATCAATTTCTGCCAGATTTTCCAAAAGGCCAGACATGTAATTTCCTTGGAGCTGTTCACAGTCCATTGCTTCCTTACAATGATCAAATTCTCTATATTCTACACTTTGAAGTATTTTTAAAACTTGACATTCTTCTGCTGATATTTCATCAGAAAGAGGACAATTATCAAGAAAGACAGTGCGTGTGCATTTTTCCAAAAGTATTCTAATAAGTTTCTCACATGCAACATTAAGAAGAAAAATTGATTTTGAGGAGAGCCCTAGGTTAGTTCTAAGTATACTATTATTACTTTGTTGATTATTTGAGGAGAAAAATGTTCTTGCTATTTTACCAGAATTCATAGCCCCATCTGGGCATTCGTCTGGCAAAAATAAATCTGAAACAATATTAAAAACTTTATTGACTAACTCTTTGGTTTCACTTGTTTTTAGGTTACCAACCAGGCTGTCTAACTTATATGCAAGATAGTTTAATTTATTTTTATGAATGAGTTGATCAGTTTCTTGAGTAGATGACTGCCTATCTCTGGAGTCTGTCTGTCTTTTGGTAATGTTGGCTTTGTTGCAAATGGAAACACTATTGTTTCTAAGCTTGGAATATAATTTGTTTCTGCCATTGCCTTCAAACTGATAATTTATTTTTATATCTTTGGATAGTACATTAATCACACCTACTAAGAGATCCTGAAAGAGATTATCAAAGTCAGCAGAAACTACTCCTGGGCAGTAAATGTATTTTGATTTTATGGAAACTATTTGCTGTGAAATGTCAGTCTGTATAATTTTATTATTAAAAAAGATTTTAATAATGATTTCAGAAATATTTAAAGCAAGTTCTCCAATGGAAATCAACTTGCTTTCAAACACTTGAGAATTAATTGAAATAATCTTGTTTAATGCAGCTTCTTGGATTTCCCTTGTTTTCCTTTTTTCTCTACACTCTTTGGTGCCAACAGAAATGCTTGAAATTAAATGGTACATGACTGATTCCGTGAGATATTCACAAAATTGATACACTGAAGAGCCACTGTATATGTTTCTTTGAGATTGTTTTGATTCAAATGTTTTCTTTGACAATGTAGAAACAAAAGGCATCTTTTCCTCACTGAAAACTTAAAAAAGAAAATTCTTAGTATACATCAAAGAAAATATGGGAAATTCAATATACTAGTAATAATTTACATTTGTATTTCACTTTTGAAGCATCTTACTTTAAAAAAAAGCCAAGTCAAGAATGAAACTGGGTTTTTCTCAAATATTTCTCACCTTGTAGAATCTTAATTTTATATAGTAAGTTAAGAAAATAACCCCTCAAAATGGAAAACTGTAAGTTAAGTGCTATTGTTTGCCTTGATTGAATAGTTATGAACTCTAAGAAGCTGGAAAACCTGGAGCAGAGAATTCCAGGGTTACTGATACATTTTGTCATGTCTTCAATGATATCTCGAGACTTCATATAATTATTTTAAAATATTTTTAGACACAGAATTTAATGTAATGCTATGTTTTACTTTTAGGATGCTAAGGAGTTGTATTGTAATATCTCATTGACTAAATTACAAGTGTGGCAGCTTCAGAAAAATTAGTGACAATTGCAATGGCAGTAGTAGTTTAATCTCTAGATTGCAGTTTGTCACAAAGAAGGAAGGCCAGCCCAACCAAGCAAAAGACTATATCCTTTGTTCTGTTCAATAGCATATTTGTTACAAATCATTACCTACTTAGGATGGTCGACTGAAACTCTTGACCCAGTTCAGGACTATTATAGTATTACAAGGTTTAATTTCATCAAATTGTCAACTATCATTTTTGATGTACAAAAATAACTCTTACATATAGTTTAACCTAATATATGCAAATAAGCAATCTTAGAAAGTGAATGCAAATATATATATATATTTATCTTTACAAGGATTATCTTATCCTTGTAAAGATAAATATATATATAATCTTATTATATATATCTATATATATTATAAGATTATATATATATATATCCTTGTAAAGATATGATTAGAGTACTATATCCAAAGGGAATTTAAGCTAGAAATATTGAGATGCATATGAAACAAGATGTTTAATTCTACTATTCTAATTCTACTGTTCTTATGAAAATTATAATAGCAGTAAAGCTTCCAATAATACATCTTGAAAAGTAGTTGAATAACCTTCAATCAATTAACTGTACATGCCATATGATAACAAGGAATTATGCACAAAAACTTAAAAAAACTCTTTGATTGGGAAAACCAAATACCACATGTTCTCACTCATATGTGAGAGCTAAATCATCACAAGATGGAGGAAATAATAGATACTGGGGGTACCAATAATGGGAGTGGTGAGGAAAGGGATTAGGGTTCAGAAACTACCTATGGGACACAGTATAGTGTTCACTATCTGGGGAATGGATCACCGGAGATCCAAACCCAACACTACATAATACATCCATCTAATCAACATGTTTGTGTACACTCTGAATATAAAAATAAAGAAACAAAAAACACAGCTCTTTGAAATTCATGTTTTATGCTCGATCAAAATCTACTGCTTTATTTATTTTATTTTATTTTATTTTGAGTTGGAGTCTCACTCTGTTGCCCAGACTGGAGTGCAGTAGCCGCTTCCGGCCACCGCAGCCTCGACCTGCTGGGCTCCGGCGAGCCTTCCGCCTCAGCCTTCCAAGTAGCTGGAACTACAGGTGCGCGCTACCACGCCCAGCTATTTTTTATTTTATTTTATTTATTGTAGAGATGAGGTCTCGTCAAGTTGCCCAGGTGGGTCTCGAACCCGCGGGCTCAGGCAATCCACTCACCTCAGCCTCCCAAAGTGCTGGGATTACAGGCTGAGCCACTGAACCTGGCCAAAATCTACTGCTTTAAAGTCATCTTATTTTCTCTCATCTGCAAACATGGAAAACTGAGAAACACACTTTGCAGATTCAAACCATGCAAATATTTAGCTTTTTTCTTTTTTTAATCACTGTGATAGATTCAAAAGCAATTAAATAGTCACCTCATCTCTAAGGCTAATTTCAGTAAACCAGTGAATACAGTTTCTTGGAAAAGATATCACTTAAATATGTATTTTACCATTTTTCTTAAATTATGCCAGCTTTTCAAGAAAGTTATCTCTTGCTTACCTCTAGTTTCAAAGTTCTTGAAATATGTGACCACAGATGTAGTGATGTGTCTTGCTATCAATTGAATTTCACTGGGACCCAGTTCATAATCAGCAAAAGTAATGACTTCAACTTCTTTCAGAGTCTCTACTTTTTTAATCTTTTTTTCATCTTCTAGTTCATATCTGATTTGTTTATCTTGCATTCTAAGCGAACTTTTCTCCTCATATTTTTGTTCTCCAGATACATCAGATAAAGAGTTTTGTTTTGATATGAAAAATGGTTTCATTGTTTCCATGCTGTCATTAGTATGTGGTTGACTGGGAAAGCCATAACTGGACAGTACAGTGTTCACAATATTTTCTGCAGCTAAACACACTTTGAGTGGAGAAACAGTTGTCTGAATTTGGTTTGGCTCAACATCTGGTTTTCCAATTTCATAATGAAACACTCTTGGATTTTCACCTCTTTCCATTTCTATGAATGACATGGCTTGCTTTAATGCCACTTCTGTGGACTCATTTACTTTCTTAAACATTTTTTGTAATATATTGCCTTGAGGGAGGGAGCTATTTCCTTTCATGGCCTCATTAAATTGGCCAGAGTTAGGTTTCCTTGGACTGTGATCTTCTGCTTTGTTTCTAGGACACGATGGCATAGTTTTTGAATCAGGTCTTTTCATTGACTCTGAGCTTCTAACTGTGTCTTTTACAGGGGATCTGACATATAAGGATAAATTTGATAATACCCCACGTTGTTTTTTCATATTTTCCTCTGGATAAAATACCAAGTCAGGTATACTCATTTGTGGAGGGTTATTTCCCAACCCAGCTTCCTTTAACAATGACATGGGCATTTTCATATTAGTTGCTAATTCAACCTGATTAACAATGCAGGCATTTTCAGCTCCTTGTAATAAACTTTGATTTGGAATGATTTTGATCAAAGACTCATTGAAATGAGTACACTGGTCCATTAGTGTGCCAATGATCTCACTTGCTACAACATTCTCTTTCGATATGCTGATTGAAGATAGCTCCATTTGCCTTATTTCTTTGTCAAGCTTCTTCTTCATTATACCAAGCATGTCACTGATGATATTAATAGTATATGTAAGTAATTCTGAATGGAATGAGTGAACCTGTAGAAGGGTATTCTGTATGTTTTCCTTGAATATAAAACTACTTGATTTGGATTCCTCAGAAAATTTTCTCAGTGGTTGTAATTTTGGCAACACTTTTTTGCTTAGTAGTCTCTGTTGGACAGGAAAAAGGTTTTCTATAGGCATTTTTACTATTTCAGAAAACTCATATTTAGAGATATGTTTAAACCGCAAGTCTACAAATGACTCCAACATGTTTAAAACTCTGTCTACAATCTCACGAATAATTTGGTTGCTGTAGTTCACAGAGATTTGGTCTTCTGTCTTTGTGTTACAGATTGGCAAATTGCTAAGGATTTGCTTGTTTGGAAAACCGTATGTACTTTTAGCAGTAATGGGTTCTTTACTGTTTGCTAGAGTTTCTTTACTGTCTGGAGTGGGTACCTGAGACAAAAAGCATAGCTGTAATTTTTCAAATAATGTTTCCACAATTTCCCTTCCAAACATATTAATTTGTGCTTTAGTATCTTCAGCTCTAGTAGATGTTCCTTTAAAACTACTGTAAAATCTGTTTTCACAATTTTCAAAAGGTGGCAAATTTAAAAGTGAAAGAGAATATTCTAATTCTTTTGCTTTTATTGAAATCTCAGTCAAAGCATTTTCGGCTATTGCCAATAGCTTGCATTTTTCATTTTCTATGTCATTTGATTCTGTCTGCCATTTGTCAAACATTTTTTTAAATATACCTTCTTTAGGAAAAATTTGTTCTAGTTGTGAAGAAACATTCTCTAAGTAAAAACATGCTTGTTGTTTGGCAAGGGATACTGTACCTATATTCCCCTGTGAAAGTTTGAGATCATCCAAATGTGATAATTTGACGGGATAAACCAAATTTCGGTTACTTGGAGCACATAATTCTCGCAAAACTGTATTAATTATTTTACTTGCTGCCATGATTTGATCAGATGGTAAAGTTCTTACATTTACCATTGCTCTGTTTTGTGTCACCTTTTCCAATTCTTTCACAATTGTTTTCAGGATATTAATTATTATATCTTTGGCATACATTTTTAGCTCTGAAGTGGAAAATTTTGTGTCCAGCAAACTTTTAGCATCTCCTGTTGACAGAATGTGTGACAATCCAATGGCAGTCTTAGCCCTGCTGTCTCTTGGCATCTTCTCTCCAGGACCTAACCTAGTCTTGCTTTTGACCTTAGCACCACTAGATCCTCGGTGTGTTTTTGTTGTAAATTTAGGCAAAGAGGTAATTTTTGATTTTGATTTTAAGTTTGTTTTAATTCCTGGCTTAGAGCTGACTTTAGAATTGTGTAGCCTTACAAGTTGCAACTCATCAAAAGAACCTTCAGGAGAAAAATTCCCTTTTAGTTCAAGTGAGACAAAATTTGTGATCTTATTGAGAACCATTTGAACTAAATCTTTCTCTATTTCCACTGGTGAATACTGCAAAATAGTGTTTTCTATCACAGAGACATTTTGACTATCTGCATAATATACCTGTGGTATATCATATCTAGAGGAATTACTTATTTTTTCAGCTTGTTTTGTTTCTTCAAACCATGGTGGTTTGGTTGGTAAGGAATCACTGTGATCAAATATTTCTGCTTCTACCCTACTTTTATTATTTTCATATAATGATGTCATGACTAGAGAGCACATTTTTCCCAAAACACTTTCAACTATGTCGTTTGCTACTCTGTTAATATGTGATTGAAAAGGAGTTTTTTGTGTTACATCTGATGTTTTAATTTTAGAATTAGACATAAAGTGGGAGATTTCATTAAATGGAGGAAAACGGCCTATGACTTTCATTACTCTTTGATAAAACTTATTCAAAAGTTCTTCCACTACACTGAGCAATTCTGCTTTTTCTTTTTGTTTAAATTCTCCATCACTCAAAAAAATTTCTTCCAAAATAATTCTCTGGCTTTTCTTTTCCAATATCATATGGTTTTGTTCTAGTGGGTATTTTGTAAATAGGGATAGTTTGGTGTTGCTTTTCTTCTCTTTGTGTCCCAGCAATATTTCATTTGATATGGTTAATTGTGAAGAGTAAGGATTATCTTTTGAGTAAAAACCAATGTCTTGTATAGATCTTTTATCATCTAAAATCTTTAAGATGCTGTCAACAATTTCACTTACCATTATGTTTTGTTGGAACAAAATATTGTTTGGACATGGATATATCTTTTGAATTTCTAAGTCTAAGTCATTTTTAATCAGCTTCAAAATGGCACTAGCAATGATGTCAGCATATTTCTTAAGGCTAGCTTCTGATAGATAAATTGTGGATCCACGTTTTTCTCTGTAACTGACAAAAGTGGAATCTGTGAGCTTTTGGCTGAGAATGGTTTCAGTTGTTGATATTTTCAGGACATCTGCATCTGATTCCATTTGGTTTGATTCATGAAAGATTCCGTCATCTTGTTTACAATTTTCCAGTTCTGAGATAACAAATGACTTTTCTTTAGGCTGGAAGGCAAGAGTAATTAATGAATCTATTCTTTTTGTGGCAAAAGATTCTAAATGATTGAAAATAGATTTAGTAATGAAGCTAGCATTTTCTTCCCATGAGAAAAAAGCAGATTTATTGGTGTCTTCTTCAGTTATTTGATTATCAGCAGCACAAACTGACTTCTGATCTCTGGAATATGAGAAACACTCTGTTTTTCTTTCACTTTTGGATCCTAAAAGAGGAGGCTGTTGACACTGTGTTTTTGAAAGCATATCACAAAAGGTCAGGGGCAAACTTGCAGACATAGAATTCTTTGCATTTATGGCAAGCATGGCAGCACAGCTGAGATTATGAAGTACAATATTCACTATATCATCAGACATCAAAATAACATCTGATTTGGGAATTGAAAGTTTAGGAATGATCTTATTTGCATTCACAATGAACACTTCAGAATCTGCTTCTGAATGTTTACCAGTCATGCTACCTTTCAGAGTGGGAGTGGGTGTGGCAAATGAGAGTTTATTCTGACACAGTGTTTTTTCATAAATATCACATAAGATACATTCAATGGTATCTTGTATTTGAAACTGAAGTACTTTTTGATATTCAGTCTTGTGAAACAATTTTTCAATAATACTTTCTTGCTGATCTAAATCATTCTCTTTCCCAAAACAGTTTTTGTCATATTTGCCTTTACATGATACAATACCTAACACTGTGTCAACAATTTGACTTGCAATATTTTCAGAAGCCACAGTGTTATAAGCTAAGAAAGGACTTTTCCTTTCTTTATCCAATTCATGTTTGATTCCTTGTAAAATTTTTCTAGCCACTTCTGTTGCATAAAAATTTAATTTCGACAAAGATAATTGGCACAATGAGTTGATCTTTCCTGACATAATATGATCCAGTGAGCAACAGGAAACTTGCTCATCAGAATATGAATCTTTGGCTGACAATGCTTTGCTCAATGTAGTCTGATCCTGCTGATTAGGTAAAGCCAACGGAACTGTTAAGATTACTTGGGGACATAAGAGAGATTTAACTTTGGAAGTAGCAAAAGTTTCTAAATTTGTTAATATTGCTTGTACAATATCTTCAACTACTTTTACCTTGGCCTGTTTGTAAACATTGAATCTGGATTGAAAAATATCTGGATTTCCATCAAACATGGTAACAGAGGACTTTTCTTCACAGATGTGTTCATGAAAAGGAACATTTGTTGAAGTAGTGATGATTTTACACCTATCTTCATTTACTTTTCTTCCTGTAATGGCAGCTGAATACAGTTTATGAAATATAGTTCTAACAATATTATCTGTTACTATAGTTACATCTGCTTCAGACACTAAAGGGCTCATCATTTTATCCATTAATTGAACAGATGTTTGAGCAACTGGTTCATCAACATTCTGAGGCATGTCACTGAAATGAGAGTGAGAGAGACAAAGCATATTTAATTGATTGATTAAAGCACTTTGGAAAATTTCATTCAAAAGATTTCTTATAATGGGAGTTATTGGAGATGTATGTGGTTCTTTGAGTTTTACTTCAATTTTGTTTAAGGTTCTTTCTAGAACCCATTGTTTAAGAGAATGTGTTTTCATTTCTTCTCCTAGTGGTGGACTCTCTCTAATGATTTTTTTCTCGGTATGTGCATCATCTTCTAAAAATGAATCAGATTTAGCTCCTCCAGGAAGAAAATTTCCACATGTTGGTCTGTATCGATAAGTCTCCATGCTTCTCTCTTCAGATTCAGTTTCATTAAACATATCTGAGGACACTGCATCTAAAATTAAACTGACTATATTCTTAAGCACTCGAGTCTTCTCAGTCAATGGGTTTTTTATACTTGTCGTCAAATCTGATGAGTTCAAATTTAATTCTGTTTGAATAGCTTTCAAAATAGCACTTGATACCTTCTTTGCATGCACGTATAAAGCTGATTGCAATGATTCTTCATGTGTGTTTGTGAAAACACTAGTATTTTCATTTTCCCAGTCTATCTTATCATTTTTTATAATCACATCATTAATAGCACCCAGAGTTTCTAAATTTCCGTTGGCAAACCCTTCCAGTTTAGCAAAAACGTCTTTGAGAATATCTGAAGTCACAGCTTTCAGTTTATTTGAATGCACTTCTTTTGTGTTCCCTGTTTTGGAAGACTCAGGAGCAATTGGTTTTGCCATGCTTTTAGCCTCTTTATTGTCTTTTTGAATCATTTTGGAAACTATACTGGAGATTATGTTGGTGCATTTGGCCATCTCCTCAAGAATTGAAGAAAATGATAGGTTGTCAATGTCAAGAAATTCTGAAACAGCTTTAAGTCCACAGCTTGCAAAACTGGTATCCATATCAACATTACATAATTTTTCAAGGATATATTCTAAAATTCCTTCGGAAATAAACTGAATATTAGAATGCAATGCAGCAGCCATTTGCTGACTCTCATTAGTCTTCTCTCTGTTTTGCTGATCACAAGATGGCTGAGAATGAGGATAGGTTTCTATAAGCTTGCCTAACATTTCATATAGTGTTTCCCCAATTCTATCTAACACTTGCAGTTTGGCATTCTCTTTAAGATCTTTTCCATCAATGACACTATGTAGAGTACATGGAGTAGCCATATATTTTTGAAAATATTTTTTATCCTGCCTGCTTGGTGAGATATTTTGTTTATCAACATTGTCAGATTCATATGCTATTGCAGACCTTGGCTTATCTGAAGGGAGTGGAGTACTTCTTTGATCTGCTTTTTCACCTAATAACATCTCACAAATACAAGTCAACAATGGGCTTTCCAAAATGTCATCACTGATATTTGTGACAAGAGAGTCTAATTCCTTATTAGTGTCAGCAAAAAACCCTTGATCTGTAAGCTGTTTGGTATGGTCAATCTTCCTAAGATTTAGATTTTTCTTATTAAATTCCAATTCATTCTGGATAGCATGCAAAACAATGCTTACTATTTTAGTTGTATACTTACTAAGTTGAGATTGTAATGAAGATTTCTCAGCAAGTGAAGGTTTGAAGTCCATTTGCAATTTTGAACCAAAAAACGACTTCAGCCTTTTAAAAATTGTATTAATGATTTTATCATTAATATCATTTACAGGTTTAGGTTCACTTTCTCCATATTTTAAACAAGAAGTCATTGCAGAATCTACATTGAGTGAAGATAAATATTTCATTTTCTTTTCACTGTCAAACCATATTTTTAATGGTTCTTTAAGTGGTGCTTCTTTGACTCTGTGGGGAGTGTCAGAATTGCCTAGGGAAGTCTCATGAACAGATGATGAAACAGAACTTTTAGTGATGTTGGGAATGTAGCTTGATGCCTTATGAAGTATATTTAACACAGCATCTATTATTTCTTGAACCACCATACTGATTTCTGATGCAGAGAACATCTGGTCCATCCATTCTTGATGTGACAGTCCTTGAGGTTTTTCCGAAACAAAAACCGAAGCTACTTTGCCAGTTTTTCCATCTAAGTGACCTGAAGGAACAGAAGATATTTCCTTGAGCATTTCTGTTAAAATTCCTTTAACTATAGTTTCAGAAGCCTTTTGTATTTGATGCTTTTGATTTTGGCTGAAAATTGAAAAGTCATCATTCAAGCAGGGTTTTTTCTTTAAAATATCTTCATTATTAATAATTGGTGGCTCATTCCTTAATCCCCAATTATGAAATGCAACTTTGCTTGCAGAAGCAGGCATTGTAGATGGTTTGATACTTTTTTTGTCTTCAAAACAAGTGTTTCCCTTTGCAAGTGGATAATTAGAAATCTGTTCTTGTGGTTTTGCTTTTTCATCTTTCACAGATAAATCAAGCACATTTTTTACAATTTTGTCTATCTCTTCATTATCATCTTCAGAATAAAGGACCATTCCTGGAACATTAATAGGTGGGAATGGTCTTCTTGACCTAGGATCATTAGACAAGCTGGTGCCAGTGAGCCTGTACTTTTCTTCAGTGTCAGAAGGACTTCTTATTCTAGGTTGTCTAGTCTTTTGAGCACATTCATTTATTGGTGCCTGATGGAGCTGAGTGAGGGTATCATCAAGCAGCTGAAGGAGTATTACTGTTTCTTCAGATGCAATAAGTCTCTCATTATTTAGTTCAACTTGTATATAACCCAGTATAGTGCTGACTGCTTCCTCTATATAACCAACCAAAGAGGACTGGGAAAGAATAGTTGATATTAAATTTTGTATTTCTTCTTTGACAATTAAATTAGCTGCTTCGGGTTCAGGACTAGGGCCAATCTTATGTGGCTGGCAGAAAACTTTGGTTGTGTCTTCAAGATGAACAATTTCATTTTGCTGATGAGATGCAAGAGTAATCAGCTTTTCAAAAATGGCATGTACCATATCCTCTGCAATATCACACATAGGTTCCAAAGTATCAGGTAATGGATTTTTTAAAGGTTCTCCATTTGATGATATGAGATGTTCCCCACTGGCTGCTAAGTTTGGTTTAATGTCTATTGACAGATTTTTTTGTGAAAACATCTCAACACATGTTTTCTCAACTGCAGACTCTAATTTCTCAAGCATATTTTCCACAATCTCAGAAGCTACTGAGCAGACATCAACATTGGAGAGCACATCTTCTTTTTCAGGCTCACATTGGTCAACAAAAACTTCAGCAGTAACAGACGAGAGAGAAGGAATGGCCTGGGTTAAATCAGACATTATTTCTTGAAAAAAGCTATCTAAAATCAATTCAGTTTCCCCTTTCAAATGACATTTAAAGTTAACCAAAACATTCTTTAAATTCTTCACTTCCTCCATGGCTTTTGCTCTTTTCTCACATAATGTTGAACTCCCTAAGCTCTCTGTTTCAGTGGTAGCATCCTTAGATTTTGTTGTGCTTGTTTCAAATGATGTTAAAAGGTGACTATCAGATTTACAACTTCTGAGCTTAGGGTATGAATAAATAAAGCTGGTCTGATTAGATTTGAGTTTAGAGGTTACAGATTGTCCTTTTGAATGATAAGTTTTCCCCACAGCTGCTCTTTCTATTTCTGCAGGAGGAGATTTTAAAGGTGTGGTTGGTCTCTTTATTGCCATGTCAACTGCAAATGCACAGGGCTCCTCCTGAAATGTTTTAGTTGTTGCAGATGTATAGCTTCTATATGTAAACTCTTCACTGCATGTGCTACAGAGACTTGAACTATCTGAAGAGAGGATGGAGTCATGAGACACTGGGTATGTACTATTTTGCAACCTTTCTTCATACTTTGTGATGGCTGGATATAATATACTGGTCACTGTAGCCACAACCCAGGTCATTATATTCTGAATTATACTATTCAGTTCTTCAGAAGTTATCTGAAATGTTGGTAAGCAGGGAAGAAAAAAGTGGTGAAACAATTTACTGCATTTTTGAGGAATGGTGGGTAACAATTGTTCATATAAAACAATGCATAGGTAGAATACCAACATGGTTAATGACCAAAAAACACAGTAAATATAAAACAGTAAAGAAATTTAGAATTTCAGAGATTAATTTCAAGTTGGTTTATTTTGTACTAGAGTAAAATATTTTGCATGAGATTTTATTTTGTTCACATTCCCTTGTAAGTTTTATTTCCCCTCTAGTTTATAATGGATAAATAATATTTTGTTTTTAAAAAAATCAAAAACAGCATGCAAATATTTTAGGAAAAAGACATAGTGCTATGACCAAGCTTAATTTTTTAAAAGTGCATGAAAGCATTTGTAACAAAGTATTTATCAGAAATAGATGCAGTCAAAATATTTAGATGCTTTCAGAAACATCTGTCTAGCTGAAATATGGGGAAGGAACATAAACCATTCTCCCTTCCCACCTCCTGCTGCAAAAGATGAATCTAGTGTCTGTATATATGGAAATGACTACAGTTAATTGATAAGAGTTATTTGAAAGACAACTATAAAAGTCAATGATTTATAGAGATTGAAGGGCTTTGAATCCAACAATAGTATCAACACAAAATGACTTAGATAGGAAAGGTGAGAGCAAATGATAAAGTGAGGAAACAAATTAATTTGGATAGAAAATAAGCTAGAATTGGAAACCAAAAACAGGAAGGGTTAGCAAGGTTGGGAAAGTTGGACTACTCCTTAGTTTGTGCTGGAACTAGGAATGAGATTTGAATGACCATTCCTTTTGGTCAGTGGTGCTGGACTGCAGGTAGAAACAGAATGCATCTGTAGCTTTCTATGGACGTCTACTTACTGCAAATATATTTGGGGAATGCAAAAGCCATGTTGCTTATAATATAGTCTGTTTTTAAATTATTATGACCCTTAAAATGTACGGGCTGTAAACACAAGTAACTTGCAGCAAAACTTAGAAGACTGATATGTAGGTCTCAGAGTAAATAATATGATTTCTGCAATTGGGTTGCTCATATCCAAACTATAGACTAAATTAGCCTGAAGTTATTCATATGTCCAACATTTTAAAATGTGAATATGTATGTAGCACACTCTCTCCTGACTCATTTGAGAATGTTCAGCTAGCACCCAAGGAAAAGTAATTCTATTCAGCTCTAATCCCCAAGTATCCTAAATATTTTTAAACTTATTGTACAAGCAACACATAGTGGTATTAAAAGTGTATTTGGAGATGACAGCTTACATAAAATGTTGTTTGTATAAATACACTCTAGGCCAGGCATGGTGGCTCAAGCCTGTAATTCTAGCATCTTGGGAGACTAAGGCAAGAGGATTGCCTGAGCTCAGGGGTTTAAGATCAGCCTGGGTGAGACCTCATCTCTACAATATTCTGTTCCTACTGTAGAATATTTGGAGGGGATGGAGGGACCTCATCTCTACAATAAATCAAAAAATAAGATGGATGTGGTAGTGTGTGCCTGTAGTTCCAGCTACTTGGAAGGCTGAGACAGAAGGATCGCCTGAGCCCAGCAGGTTGAGGTTGCAGTGGTCGTGAGAGTGCCACTGTGCTCTAGTCTGGGCAACAGAGTGAGATGCCAGCTTAAAAAAATAAAAAATGTAAATAACTAAATAACCTTAAATCAAATACTTCTAAGAATAAATCCTACATTTTAACAGAGATATTATTCTAAATCAACTTCAACACAAATAAACCGATATTCCATACCTACATTTTTAGTATTTCTAGAGATAAAAACTACATAACTACATTATTACTCTTAGGCTGGGTATGGGAAAGAGTTTATAACCTCAGTATATAAAAGATATATATCCCTAAAGTTTTATGTGTAGTAAAACATGATAGAATCCTGTCTTTTGATTGCTTGCCATTATAAACGCAAGCTGGAAAATATTGCCCTGGGTTAAAGCTTTGTATGTGCTGTAAATTCTATGAGTTGAGTAGGTATCTATGTGAATTAGTGTATGTATATGTTCTTCCCCAAACTTTCTCTTTTCTGACTGGTCTGTTTAGATGCAGATTGGTATATATTTATACTAATATATACCACTTTAGCTTTGCCTGTAACAAATCTCAGCTTATAGGGGACCAGGTTGCTTTTGGTATGACCTTCTTAGGTGACCAGATCTCTTTCCACGGGAATTGCTAAAGACAGATTCAGGTATCTCAACTCTACTACTACTGAATTCACCAGCAAAATCTACAGAGCCATGTTCGTTAACGGCTTCCCATGACAAAACAGGTTTGTGGTATTTGATGTTGTTTCTATGACAGTTCCCTTAATGGTCCACCATTGCAAACTCATGAGAACTTTTCTTGAAGGGCCAACATTATCTTTTGATGACAACTTTTGACTACAGCAAAATCTAAGAATTTACTGAAAATAAAGTTTAAAGAAGAAAAAAGAACAAAGAGTAAGACTGCCATATATCAAAAGATAATTCATAGTTATCTACTTCACAAAACGTTTTCTACCATGACACATTAGAAAGTGTGGATATAATGATACATACTTTTTCTAGCAAGCAATTTTGTAGAAGATTCTGTGGCCTATAAAAAAAGTTGATCATATAGTTAATACTTGGAATCAAGAATATATGATACTTTTCCTAAATTACTAATGATTGAATTGAATCATTTTCTTTAATATCTGAGAGTTTTTCCACAGAAATTCAAAACGAAGGACAAAATATTATTTTGTCCAACTTCCCTATTTTACCTCCTTCTTAGGTATTGACCTCTGATTTAAGAAGTATGCCTAATTAGTCAGGGGAATATAATTACAACTGTTGCACAAACAATATACTTTTCTGATAGCTGTACTTCTGACACACCTTAGCTCTGTGCTTCTCTGAAAACCAAAGCTAGAATTGACAGGAAGAGGGCAGGTTAGTCCCTTCTCTCGGCTAAAAGGCATGATGGGTTGCAAGGCATCTTAGCAGAGTTATCCGATAATCCTTTACTTACCCTTTAAAATTCTATAGCCCCACCATCCCCTCCAAATATTCTACAGTAGGAACAGAATATGTGAATGATTATTCAACAACAATGGGATAAAACCACGAATTTCTTACTATATTAAATACCAATTTAGATGTATCCCCTTTCTGTCTATGACAATATTGTATCATGTGTTCTAATTAAATTTATCATCAATAATTAATGAAATAAAAACATAATTTTCTAAATTGGAACAAACGAAGAGCTAAGTCATAAAAAAATAAATATTTGTTAAACTAAGGTATAAAAGTGAATTTCTGATTTATTTTCATATATTTTTGCCAATATGAACCATTTCTTGTCTTCTTCCTACTTTTTTTATTATAAAGATGTGGGATACAATTCAGGGTTAGTTATACAAATGTTGATTATGCAGGTACCCTTGTTAATGAGGAATGCCTCTCCCTCCTCCAGCAGTTCCCCTCAACTGTCAATCCCATCCCCCTCTCCTGACAGTTTTCCACTACTGCCAATTCCTTTCTTATAGTATTATAATTGTTCAAGGTCCCCTTGTGAGTGAGAACATATGGTACTCTATTCTTTGTTTCTGTGATAGATCACTGAGTATGATTGACTCAAAATCCACCCAAGTTGCAGCAAAGTCCATATGTTTGTCATTCCTTATGGCTGCATAATATTCCATTGTGTTTATGTACCACATTTTAAAAATCCAGTCCAGCTTCAGGAGGCAGCATGGTAGATCCATGTTTTTGCTATTGTGAATAGAGCTGCAGGTATCTTGTTTGTAGAATAATTTTAGTTCCTCCAGGTATAATCCCAATAGGGGAATTGCTGGGTCATATGGAAGGTCAATTTCTTGTTCTTTCAGAACTCACCACACTGTCTTCCAAAGAGGTTGCATTAGTTTGCAGTCCAACCAGCAGTGTAGAAGCATTCTTTTTTCTCCACATCCTTGCCAGTATCTGTTGTTGTTTGTTTTATTAACGATGGCCATTCTTACTGGGGTTAAGTGGTATCTCAAGGTGGTTTTGATTTGCATTTCTCTATGATGAGTGAGACTGAGCACTTTTTCATATGTCTGTTAGCTGCCCATGCATCTTCTTTTAAGAAGCTTGTATTTATGTCTTTTGCCCACTTTTTAATGGGGGCTGTTTGTTATTTTTCCTTTCAGTGCATTTGAGATCCTTGTAGATCCTAGATGTTAGGCCTTTGTCAGATATACAGTTGGCAAATATTTTTTCCCATTGTGTGTGCTATCTCCCTGCTCTCTTGATGGTTTCTTTTGCTTTGCAGAAGCTCAATAGTTTGATGAGGTCCCATTTGTTTATCTTATTACTTAAAGTATGGGCATTTAGGGTTCTAAATAGCAATTGGTTGCCAGTTCCAATTTCCATAAGGATATCTCCTGTGTTTTCTAAGATTATTATGGTTTGAGATTTTACATTTAAGTCTTTGATCCATTTATAGTGAATTTTTGTCTATGGCAATAGGTAGGTGTCCTGTTTCAATCTTCTACATGTGATCTGCCAGTTTTCCCAGCACCATTTACTGAATAGGTTCTCCTCCCACCAATGATTGTTGTTGGAGGCTTTGTCAAAGGTGAGTTGGTTGAGAGATTGAGGCTTTGCTTCTGGAATACCTATCCTGTTCCCTTGGTCTATGTGCCTGTTCTTGTACCAATACCAGTCTGTTTTGATTACTGTAGTCTTACAGTGAAGTTTGAAGTCGGAAGTGTGATACCTCCTACTTTGTTTCTTTTGCTAAGGATTGTTTTGACTATTTGTGGTCGTTTATGTTTCCATATGAATTTCTGTAATGTCATTTCCAGGTCTGAGAAGAATGATGTTAGTAACTTAAGGGTATTGCATTGAATTCTGTAGACTGCCTTTGGTAGGATGGACATTTTAACAATGTTGGCTCTTTCTATCTATGAGCATAAATTATTTTTTCATTTGTTTGTGTCTTCTTGGATTTCTTTGAGCAGTGTTTTGTAGTTCTCATTGTAAAGGTCTTTCACTTCTCTGGTTAGGAAGATGTCGAGGTATTTCATTTTTTTTGTGACTATTGTTAATGGGATTGTACTTTTGATTTGGGTCTCTGCCAGTTTTTTGTTGGTGTATAGGAATGCAACTGTCTTTTGCACATTTATTTTGTACCCAGACGCTTTGCCAAACTCCTTTATCAGTGTAAGTAGGTTTTTGGCACATTCTCTTGGATTTTCAAGGTATAAGAACATACCATCAGCAAAGAGGGATAACTTGACTTCCTTTTTTCCTATTTGGATACCCCTGATTTCCTTCTCTTGTCTGATTACCCGAGCTAGGACTTCCAACTCAATGTCGAACAAGAGGGGCGAGAGTGGGCAGCCTTGTCTTGTTACAGCCTTCAGGAGAAATGTTTCCGGTTTCTGTCCATTTAACAGTATGTTAACTGTGGGGTTGTCATAGATGACACTTACTATTTTGAGGTAAATTCCTTCAATACCTAGGTGCTTGTGGGTTTTTATCAAGAAGGGATGCTGGATTTTACCAAAAGGTTTTTCTGCATCTATTGATATAATCATATGGTTCTTGTTTTCACATTTGTTGATGTATTTAATTACATTTATGGTCTTGCAGATGTTGAACCACCCCTGTATCCTGGGAATGAAGCCTACTTCATCATGGTGGATGATTTCTGAGATATGTTTTTGGATCCGATATGCTAGAATCTTGTTGAGAATTTTTACATCTACGTTCATAAGGGATTTTGGCCTGTAGTTCTCTTTTTTTGTTTGGCCTTTAACCGGTTTGGGTATCAGTGTGATATTAGCTTCATAAAATGATTTGGGGAGAATTGCATCTTTCTCAGTGGCCTTGAATACTTTTAATAGGATTAGTATTAGCTTCTCCTTATACATTTTGTAGAATTCTGCTGGAAAGCCATCCAGTCCAGGGCTTTTTTTTTCTTTTTTTGGTAGGTAGTTTTCATATGACAGAACCAATATCCTGGGTTTTTATTGGTCCATTTAGTGTCTCAATGTCTTCTTGTTTCAACCTGGGGAGGTTGTATGATGTCAGAAAGTCCTCCGTTTAATTTAGGTTATCAAGTTTGTTTCCATATAGGTATACATAGGAATCTCTGATAATCTTTTGTATTTCTTTGGAGTCAGTTGTGATTTGATATTTTGTATTTCTGACTGTGTGTATTTGGTCTTTTTCTCTCTTTTTCTTGGTCATTCTGCCTAGGGGTCCATCAATCTTGTTAATGATTTCAAAGAACCAATTTTTTGTTTTGTTGATATTTTCTCTGATTTTTTTTTATCTTCTATGTCTCATATTTGGGTTCTTATTTTGGTGATTTCGATTCTTCTGCTAAAGTTGGAGTTTTGGTAGTCTTCTCTTTCCAGCTCCCTTGGGTGATTGGTTAGGCCCACCTCTTGTGATCTTTCCATTTTCTTTATGTGTGCTCATAGAGATATAAATTCCCCTCTTAGAACTAACTTCATGGCATTCCAGAGATTTTGGTAAGGTGTTTCATACTGTTCATTTGTTTCCAGGAATCTTTTAATTTCTGCTTTGATTTCAGTGTTGACCCAGTAGTTGTTCAGCACCATGATGTTTAGTGTCCAAGTCTTTGTGGGTTTTGGGGAAATGTTGTTGGTGTTGATATTTATTTTTTTATTCCACTGTGGTCTGAGAGCATGCATGGCAAGATTTCAACCTTATGCAATTTGTTTATGCTTGATTTATGGCCAAAGATGTGATCGATCTTGGAGTATGTTCCATGTGGTGATGAGTAGAATATATATTCTGTGGTTGTTGGTTGGAATAATCTCTAGGTGTTTACTAAGTCCATTTGGTCAGGTGTCAAGTTTAGGTTCTGGATTTCCTTGTTGATTTTTTGCCTTAATGATCTATCTAGGGCTGTCAGTGGGGTATTCAAGTCCTCCACTATAATAGTGTTAGAGTCAATATCTGTTTTTAGTTTACTTAGTGTTTACTTTATAAATTCTGGTATGCCTATGTTGGGTGCATATATGTTTAGGATAGATATTTCTTGTTGATGGATTGAAACTTTTATCATTATGTAGTGTCCTTTTGCATCTCTTTAAATTTTTGATAGCTTGAAGGTTGTTTTGTCTGATATTAATATCATAACTCCTGCCTTCTTTTGTGATCCATTTGCCTGGAAACTCATTTTCCATCCTTTAACTTTGAGTCTCTGTGCATCCCTTGCAGAGATGAGTCTCCTGGATGCAGCAAATAATTGGGTCATGGTTTCTTATCCAATTTGCCATTCTATGGCTTTTCAGTGGTGCATTTGGTCTATTCACATTCAGTCTGATTATTGAAATGTGAATGTTTTGTGCTGTCATAAGGATCTTATAAATTATTTTCTTTGTTTGCTTGTTTTCTTTTGGTTTGGGGTTGCTGTATGTGTGTTTTCAAGTTTCTCATTGTGCTGTATTTCTGTTGATTCTGTGCTCTGCTGTTCTTTTGAGAAGTGTGTGGTCATTTTTTTTTTTTCTTACTTCTGTGTTTAATACCCTTTTAAGTGTCTACTGTAGAGCTGGTCTAGAAGCTGCATAATCTCTTAGGGATTGGATA